TTTAATAACATCTCATTCTGATCCAGGCCATATACCATGGATCCAAATACACACAATGGACAGATGGTGGGGCATTCCCAAAAAACTGAGAGAATTCCAAGGTTTGCAGAAAAATCTAAAAAAAATACAGTGGGGGTTAAAAACACACACACAAAATAGTAGAAACACTTGTAGTTTTAAGGAATGAGTGCCCATTGCTAGCTCACAAGACTACAAAACTTGCTACCATGGGGTTTGTGTGAGTCGCCTGGGCTCAGCAGTGGCCACTGCACAACTCACTTGGGTGACAGGTAACTGCACATCCACTACTTGACTTGCCCAGGCCCACCATTGACACAGCATGACTTGCCTAGGCCTGACAGTGACCACTGCATAACTCACCTGAGTGACTCGCTACCACTTGACATGCATGACTTTCCCAGGTTTGGTTGTGGCCACCATACACCTCACCTAGGTGACTCACCAATAGGGTCCTACCTGTGATCCAGTGGGGGGCTCCTGAGTCTGGCCCAAGATCTTCTGTGGTGTGATGACATCACCCAGAAGTGATGTCATCACATCGCCACTATTGGGGGGGGTAACGCTGTAGTTGGGCAGAACTTTATGGGTTTTTTTGGGTTCAAAATCGTAGAATTTCCCCAAAAACTAGAGCATCACCCCCCCCCCCCCGATGTTGGCAACACGATGGCGGCGCTTCCGGGTGATGCCATTGTGTTGGGGGCATTGCCTGGCAATGTCCCTGTTCAGAGGTGGCAGATCTAATGGGGAGAATCCCCACCTGGACCAGGGGTCTGGCAACCCTACTCACCAACATAAGACACACTTCTGTGCAAGTCGCTTGAGTGACTCATGGCCCAGTGGGGTGAGTCCTGATGGTGGCCACTTCACAGCTCACCCAAGCAACTCTGTACCATGTCACCTGTGTGATTTTTGCAATTTGCCTGACTTTTCCTAGGGAAGGAATGACTGGAAAAGATTAACACTAGAGGAGAGGTGGGGCAATCACCCCCAAAAGCCCCAAATCTTCTCCAGAGCTTTGAACCAATTTCTGTGATTGTGTATGTTTTTTTTTCTTCCCTCTGAGGGGAGGTTTTTATTGATTTTTTTACGGACTACAAACTATAACTGAAAATATGGGGGAGGGGACTACATCTAGGGAGAAAGAAAAAAGACCCACTACTAACTAAAAACCCAAGAGTAGGAGATCAATACATCAGCTTATCCCCATGCTATTTTCAAAAAGCCAATAATACAATGAACATCGTCGGTTATGCTAAGTTAATAATCGTTTAACCATCCCTTTATCTGTTTAAAGAAATCCCCAGAGCATCCCAACAGTTAGTTTCAACATTTTTTCAGGCACAAATCAGAGTCCTTCAGCCCTTATTTATTCTTATCTTTTCTAATCCTCAATTTGTATGGGCTTTTGGGGGCAGCTGCCCCCAGTGTATGTTAAGTGTCATTAAGTCGCAGCTGATTTAAGGCAACCCCAGCAAGGGTCTTTGAAGATAAGTGAGAAGCAGAGGTGGTTTGCCATTGCCTTCCTCTGCAGAATCTTCCTTGGTGGTCTCCCATTCAAGTCTAACTCTGCTTCTCTTCTGAGATCTCATGAGATGCCTTTTCCTTAACCCACAAATTACCAATCTCTGAAATTGGGAAGTGAGTAAAATAAGTAGCCAAATTGGATCCAGTATAGCAGCTGTATAGCAGTGTGGCATTGCTAGCCATAACAGATGTGGTGGGGTGAATTAAATGTTTCCAGCATCAGATTCCTTGTAATCTGCTTTTGGTCTCATTCTCACAGAAACTGAGATCAGTGCAGAACCAATACCATATCAATTCTCATTCACCCTACCACATGCTGCCTTGATCCGTGCCCGTCATGGCTAATTAAAGCTGGCCGTGACGGGGTTCGAGGCACCCTGAGGGAGATTATCCACAAGTCCCTCGCTGAGGGACAGTTCTCCTGGGGTGCTTAAGGAAGCAGTTGTCCGCCCTGTGTTGAAAAAATCATCTCTGGATCCGGCTGAATTGGCCAACTATCGGCCGGTTTTCAATTTGCCCTATTTGGGCAAATTAATAGAGAGTGCGGTAGCGAGTCAGCTACAGAGCTTTTTGGATGACGCTTCCATCTTAGACCCCTTCCAGTCCAGCTTTCGCCCTGGTCATGGGACGGAGATTGCACTGGTTGCCCTAATGGATGATGATCTTCGTAGGCATCTGGATCGAGGCGGATTGGCTGTGCTGATGTTGCTGGACCTGTCGGTGGCGCTCAACATGGTTGACCATCAGCTGCTGGCCCGCCGCCTTGCCGACACAGGAATTCAGGGGCTTGCCTTACAATGGCTTGCTTCCTTTCTCCATGGTTGGGGACAAAGGGTGGCGCTAGGGGAACAGCAGTCCAAGAGGCATCCACTGGACTGCGGAGTGCCTCAAGGGGCAGTGCTTTCCCCGATGTTATTTAACATCTATATGCACCCCCTTGCCCAGATTGCCAGAGGCATGGGCTGGGATGTCACCACTACACTGATGACACCCAGCTCTATCTGATGTTGGGCAGCTGGTCCGACTCCAGACCGGAAGACCTGGACTGGGCATTGCAAGCCGTGGCTGATTGGCTTAGGCTGAGTCAGTTGAAACGGAACCCGATGAAGACGGAGGTCCTGTGCTTGAGTCGGGGTGGTTTGGGGGTGGGGTTCCCACTCCCGACCTTTGACGGGGCGCCATTGGTGCCAGTGCTGGGGATTAGGAGTTTGGGAGTGCTTCTGGATGCCTCCCTAACAATGGAGAACCAGGTAGCGGCCACTGCAAGGTCAGCCTTTTACCATCTTCAGATGATTGGGCAGTTGGTTCCCTTCCTCGACCACGCCGACCTAGCAACAGTGACCCATGCTATGGTCACCTTGAGACTAGACTACTGTAATGCTCTCTACATGGGGCTGCCCTTGTTGCGGATCTGGAAGCTGCAGCTAGTGCAGAATGCTGCAGCCAGGCTTTTGATGGGTCTCCCCAAGTGGGAGCACATCCAGCCTGTGCTGCGGCAACTGCGCTGGCTGCCAATAGCATACCGAATCCGCTTCAAGGTGCTGGTTCTTACCTTTAATGCCCTATATGGCCAGGGTCCAGCATTCATGCGGGACTGCCTTTCCCCACATATACCCCAGAGAGCATTTCGGTCAGGGTCTCAAAACCGATTTCCCCTCCCTGACCCTAAAGAGGCCAGGGTTGCTACTACCAGGGCCAGGGCTTTCTCTGTGGCGGCCCCATCCTGATGGAAAGAGTTCCTGGCGGCCCTGCAAGACGGAGCTCTTCCGCCAGGCTTTCAGCTAGGGTGCCGCCACCATTATAGAGCCCTGGTCCCTGGGTCTTTGTCATCCAGCCTGAGCTGCAGGAAGATCTTGAGCAGAAGGATTTTTAGAGAGTGCACTGAAATAAGCCATCTTGAGTAACTGTCTTCAGCACTTTATGAAACTGTATTAATAATGGAATTCTTTTATATGGTTTTATGTGGTTTTAACTTTATTTTCTGTACTGACTGTAAGGCGCCCTGAGCCTGCAGTGCGGGGAGGGCGGGGTGTAATTGCAATAAATAAATAAATAATAAATATTGTGCAATGATCCTGAATTTACTGCAGGAGAATGCCCTTGTTGGTTCTTCTGGACCTCATTCAGTATAATTGTTTTTCTGAATTTCTTGTCCACATTAGGTCTAGATGGTATTGGTTCTGCACTGATCTCAGTTCTTCTTGGATGGTAGGCCATAGAATGTGTTAGTGGTTGTGATCCTGTGCTGTTTGATCCATTGGTCTGTGGGTCCCTTGAGGTTCTATTTTACGTTTACATGAAGCCACTGAGAGAGATTATCCAGGGACTTCAAGCTAAGAGTCACTAGTATGCTGATGAGACTCTGCTGGTTTGTGTTCACACTGTCTTTCCTCTCCATCTAAATCCAGGGAAGCTAAATGTTTGGGGGCATTGAAGGACTGGATGAGGATGAATAAATTAAAACTTCATATAAGACAAAGATACCATTTGGAAATACAAAATATGTGTGTGTAACTTATTTTGGATGGGGTTATACTGCTGCTAAGGAGCATGTACACAGTTTGGAGGTACTCATGGGTACCTTGCTGTTCTTGGAAAGGAAGGTGGCTGAAGTTGTCAGGGGTGCCTGTCCCTCTCTTAGGTGGGCGCACCAGCTGTTCTGGGCCTTGCTGCCATCACTCATGTGATGGTAACATCCAGAAAATCTAGAAGAAGAAGAGAAGAGGAGATTGGATTTATACCCCGCCCTTCACTCAGAGTCTCAGAGCAGCTTACAAACTCCTTTCCCCTCCCCTCCCCACAACAGACACCCTGACTAAACTACTGCAGAATGCCCCTTACAGGTATGTCCCTGAAGATGATTTGGAAGCTTGGTGCAAAATGTAATAGCTAGGGTTCTGATAGGAAGCCTTGACTTGGGTTCAGAATACCTCAATGGATTGCCTTCTGCTGAATTGGGTTTCTAGCTGAATTTTGAGATTTTGAGGGTAGGACCTTTTCTGACAGGGCTATAAACTTTATTCCCCTGGTAGGGGAGGTCTGGGCCATCACTGCAGGCCTTCCAGAAATGCTGGAACCTCCCCCCCCCCATACCTTTGAAGGATTAATTAGCTGATTGATGAGTTGGTGTTGCTTTTATCATACGCTAATACGTACTAATAAGGTAATTTTTATAAAATTTTGTGTTTTGTATGAACTTTAACTTTGTGATCTGCCTTGACAACTTTTGTGCTAGACAGGTGGTATAGAATTTGGCTAGAGTGCCATCTCCAACATCATGAGATGTACAGATTGTTGTATGTCATGGCACAGTGGCTGAGTAGCCTGGTAATTGGACTTTGGCATTTGTAAGGTCCAGAAGAATATTTCTGAAATCCAGCATTATAATTCATTTTGATGTTGCAAATGATAGTAATTTCCGAAGTAATACTTAAATATTTTCATCATTGTTATAGGGGATGGAGTGCTAGATCTCTCTACAAAGAAAATAAGTTTGGAACAGTCAGCATATGATGGATCATGTTCTGAAAATTCGGTGTCTGGGTAAGAAATATGTAGTAACATTATTTTGGTTAAAGTAACGATAATTGAAGGTTTAAACCTCAAGACAGACTTTTTTCGTTATCTGAAAAAAAATATGTACTGGCACACACAATTATATTTTGCTTTTATGAAAGAGTTTTCCACTCATAATTGTGTGTTTGTGTATAACTCATATGTTTCATTTTTTGTTTTTCACTTTTTTCTGTTAAAGAAAAGTTATCAGAACAATCACCAAACTTTAGTTCATGTTATTGAAAGTGAACTGAAAGCATAATTACATTAGTGCAAACAAAGGGGAAAAGATGATAGAAAAATTATTTTCTGTGCTGTTGAAGCTTTCAAATTGGGTAAAGGAAAAATATGTATTTTTCATAGAGTCCTCATCTAGGAAGAAGTTTAAAATAGCTGTTAGCATCCTTGCTGTTTCCTCATGAGAGAGAGAGAGCTCTTGATGGCCATTCTTGCATTTTGATTCTGCCTCTGGTGTGTGGTGGCATGCTGCTAAGACCATTTATTAATGTGATGTTTAATGTGCTGAAATCTCATGTTTAACTGAAGTAATAGACAAATAACCAGTGTTATAATTTTGGCATCCTTCCATCCACGAACCATAGCAGTCCCTTTTATGTTACATGTGCATTTTGTAAACTTATTTTTAAAAAGCAAACAAAAAACTTTTAATGGTCTAGTAGAATTATTCCTTGCTGCTTTTTAAATTATATATACACATGTGAACAAATAAAATTTTGCTCAAATTTAGGGTGTAACGTACTTAGGACTTATTTGCAACTTAGGGATGTTGAAAAATTATTTGGATGTTTAGGATATTTTTGTTAGTAGTTGCAACAAAGTTTCTATAAGGGGGTTGACTCTTTTATTACTTGTTTAGCGGTAACGTCACGTTTCTACTAACAAAACTCCTTTAGGAGGGGGGCATTCAGTGGATGTTAATTGTGGAAAGAAAAGTTCTAAGTGTTGCTCTGCAAGCATGTGTCAAAAGGGAATTGTAAACAGATGAGAATGTTATATCAAATACTGAGCTATGATTTAAAGTTCTTGGAAGGGCTGCTGTAGAAGCTGGGGTATCATTTTTGACACAAGGTCCTACCAGAACTGTAGCATTTGCTATGGTAATCAGTAGCTACCACATCTCAAAGACTTAAAAGTATCAGAAGCAGTGATGTTACCTAAGCAAGGAGTATAATAAAGGAGTGGACCCTTCCCTTCCATAGCTGTGTGAGAGTCTCTCATGCATCAGTTCACCATCGTTTCATTCCATCCATCCAGGAGACTCCACAGACACAGAGAGGACTATGTGGAAAGAAGTGCTGAGTTTGCAGATGGTTTGCTCTCAAAAGCATTGAAAGACATTCAGTCCGGAGCACTGGACATAAATAAAGCAGGCATACTTTATGGCATACCTCAAAAAACTTTACTTCTCCACTTAGAAGCCTTACCAGCAGGAAAGCCTGCATCCTTTAAAAACAAAACTCGAGATTTCAGTGACAGTTATTCTTACAAAGACAGTAAAGAAACTTGTGCAGTGCTGCAAAAAGTAGCCCTGTGGGCAAAAGCTCAAGCAGAGCGCACAGAAAAAAATAAACTCAGTCTACTTGAAACCTCAGAATTAAGATTCCCAACAGCTTCCAGTTACCTCCACCAGTTAACCCTACAAAGAATGGTCACTCAGTTTAAAGAAAAAAATGAAAATATACAATATGAGGCATCAACTCCAACCGTACAGTTAAAAATCCCTCAACTAAGAATCAGTGCTGTGCCCAAACAGCAGCCTGATAGTGCTGGACTCCTCGATGTTATGTACCATGTTTCCAAAACCTCATCAGTCTTGGAAGGATCGGCTCTTCAGAAACTGAAAAACATCCTCCCTAAACAGAACAAAATTGAATGTTCTGCATCTGTAACTCAATCAAGTGTTGACTCCTACTTTCTGCATGGGGACCTCTCTCCTTTGTGTCTTAATACTAAGAACGGAATTGTTGATGGAACCTCTGAATCTACAGAAGATGGCTTCGATCGCAAGGATAATAAACAGCCAAGGAAAAAACGTGGTCGCTACCGGCAGTATGATCATGAAATAATGGAGGAAGCAATTGCTATGGTAATGAGTGGGAAAATGAGTGTTTCCAAAGCACAAGGAATCTATGGGGTACCTCACAGCACTTTAGAATACAAAGTTAAAGAAAGATCTGGAACGCTGAAGACTCCTCCGAAGAAGAAGCTCCGATTACCAGACACTGGGTTGCTTCACATCACAGATTCAGGGACTGGCACCTGCAAAAATAGCAGCAAGCCTATGTAGTTTAAGTTGTTAGAAACTTTTGTGTGCCTGTGTGTGTGTGTGTGTGTGTGTGTGTGCACGCATGTATATGCACATGCGTGTGTGCTTGTGTGTAAGCCTACACATGTGAGAAACACAAATGTTCACTCAGACAGAAGACAAAATTTTACAGTTCAGAAACCACATACATGCCTTTTTGAAGAATAATTTTATTCAGGGTTTTCACTGTGGAAAAATGATAGAATTGATCACTTAATTGTGATAGTTTGTATTTAATATAATCCTTGTATAAATAAGTGAAAAAGATTCAGGTTTTATTTAGTAGTCAATAGCATAAAATGTTTGGAATAACATGTATTTGTCATGTGAAACATTATTTTTACTGATGAAGAGTGACCCTAGCCATTCAATAATCCATTTTATAAAGGAAATATCCAGTTAACACTTTGAAGACATTTATGCCTCTCAGAATGCTTTCAGGAGTTGCAAGAAACCGAAGAGATACAAAGTAAGAGATATTGAGAACAGCGGTAGTTTCTTAATGTGGAAACTTAACTTGCAAAGTATTAGTTTAACACAGACAATTTTATGGAACAGAAAGTCCATCAATGCTAAACATCTGATATAGTTAACATTTTTCAGTTTTAAAAGCGTGTGTTAGATATATAACTGGGTTCTTACAATTTTTTGTTGGTTTAGCAAGAAATTGGTGTTTACAAAATATACACTTGTGAAAACTGACAAGTATAGTGTAGCTATAGAATGATTATAAGATGGAATACTAAAGGCATAAAATTATTAACTGTTTTCCTTTAGTGTGGAAAATAAGCTAACTTGTAAGGGTTAAAGACAAGAGTTGGAATGCAGATTAGAGCATGTTCATAATGTGCACAGAATGAGCTTGAGAATGGTTATCTTGGTTTAAATGTGCTGGTTAGTTAGTGTTATGACTACTTACATTTATTTAAGGATTGTGTAACACTCCTACTGAAAAACCTCACTGTAACAGTAATGTACTTGCTGCTGTGACACTTCAAAACCTTTTCAGTTTATCAAAATGAACATCATCAGGTTTTCATTTTGGTGGGCCGATATATCATCACTTTGCTAATAACCAAATTTGCAGTTCAGGGTCTTGATATAATTACAGATAGAAAACAATGAAGCTGTTTTGAACTTTCAGTACTAGAAACCCTTTATATATTTACTATTTGAAAGCTGGGCAGTTCATTTTCAATAAATAACTTTTCACGGAACCAGTTACTTTTAGATTAGAAATGAATTTTTAAATGAATTTTGAAGTATTCATATCGGGTCTGATCCTTCCCCATATTGATATGCCTGTAGGGCTCATAGAGAGCCCTTCCTTCCCCACTGTGCATGCAGGCAGACAAGGGTATACTGAAGAACAGGGTGTGTAGGTCATTCCTCCCTTCTCTAGCAGGAGCAAATGGCAAGAGAGAGGGAAGGAAAGTGGACCATAGGGATATAAGAGGTGGTTCATACCTTCTGATACAGCTAATAGCCCACTGTGCCGGAGGTGCAAGAAGGAGAGGAGACACATCTCTGTGGGGATCCTGCTGCATGCAGGCTCTGTACTCATGCGGAGAAGGATCATCTCTGTTGTATTTTGTATACTGCGTAACTTGAGTATGCTACCAAAACATATCTCTGTATGAATAAGGGCATCCATGTCCTTTTTTATTGACTATTATGTGTTTATGGGAAGCTTAGAACCTCCAGAAGCTTTACCTCTCTTGCCCATATCTGCTACTGAAAACATCGCAAACTACATTTTGTGCATGAACATCTAAATTCACATGTAGTAATATTTTTAGTTTGCCATTCAACTCAGTTGGTAGCATTTCATAATCAACTGTGAAGGGGAATCAACATTTTCTTACTGAATTTTTTTTTTATATTGGAGTATCAAATTGTAACAAAATCAGCCTAGCAGTTATTTGGCCTGTTGGGGCAAAACTATACACTACATTGTAAAATCATACTTGGATCTTTCCATGGATTTTTTTAATAGGTATGAAAGCATATGTGGGGAGTGCCTGAGCTGGATCAGGAGTGCAATGCTGCTTTCCCCTACTCTTTTCCCAGTCAAATGTCCCCTGCCCCAAAGCTACTACCAGCTGCACTGGGGTGGTGGTGGTTATAGGTACCGATATCATGCCTGTCTCTTCTCCACAGTGACGTGGGGATGGGTTAACTACCAACCCCAAGCTCTATAGCCCCAGCAGAATTTGGGCACACCTGAAAGCTGCTTTGAACCTTTTTATGAATGCAGGGAGATCTGTTCATGCTTCTGCTGTGCAGTACGTAGTTTGGCCCTTCAATCTGAAATGAGTCTCCTTCTGTTCCATTACATATTAGTAAATAAATCCATTGTAAAGAAAATAATATATTAGTTATAAAGAGAACATGAAACATCACGGGTCAAGGTCATCATTAATTTTAAAGAACTAAGCCATATTTTGCCAGGTTTAGAATTTTGTTGGATCGTTTCCCAGTAGACTAAACCATTCTTCTTGGAGAACCATTGAGAGTTCATTAATTGCTTAAATACATGGGCCAGGATCCAAACAGTGGGGGGTTCTGCCCCACTTCCTTACAGATCCTTGTGCCCCCAAAAGCTGCTTCTAAAAGTTGGGGAAACCCCAGATCAAGGTGTGATACAACATGGGCATGCAATTCAGGGTGTGGGGGGTGGAGCAGTGCCCTGTGCTTTCCTTCTCATACGCAGGGTTTTTCGGATACTGGCCTCTGTTTTTAATTCCACAAACAATAGTTAGATTTTAGTCAGAGGTTTCTATCAAAGACAAGTTACTTAAATATCATTTAAAAGGTGGCCTGACCAAAAAGTGACAGGATTCATAAAATCAGGGATCATTTTTCTATTGACTTTAACAGTGATTGGTAGTTTTGTATGTAATATTATAATTTTCAGCATTTTAGTACTTGTATTTATTTTTGGTCAGAAATAGTATATTAAAATATTTTTTGATAGTTGTAGATAATGCTCAGCCTGTAAGTTTAAAAAGAAACATAATTATTTCTAATGGACACGCTGAACCTTTGATTATACAACTGAGGAAAGGCAGGGAAATATGTAGACTCCCCTTATCCATCCCTAATGTATTCATTTAAAATGTTGTTTAAATTATAATTTTGAAATACTTTTTAAATTCAGTTACCAGTCGCTACTTAGAAATTGACAAGTTTCTGAAAATTCCTATTTCAACAGACTTTTAAATGAAGGTGAAAGAAAGCCCTACATGCTTTCTACTTATTTGAATGTTTCTCAAGTATTTTATATTAAAAAACAGTGCCTCTGTTTTTAGAACTACTGCTCAGTAAAGTTGTTTAAACCATTTCTGGTAGCTAATGACTATTTTATATTAAATTAAATTGTATATTAACTTTAGTGAGACTGATTTTTTTAGTTGTTTACAGTACAAATACCTGTATTCTTTTTTTTAATTGCAGTATTTCCATTGTTGCAGTAATTTAGTAAAACTCTGTGGCTGCCTTGATTTTTGACAGATTTTGTTAATAACTGATTTCTAGGCAATTAGTTCTATTTATGCATAAATCAATTGCACTATAATTCATGAATTATTTATTACAATATTTTCTAATGAATTCCATGTATTTGTCTTGTGTTGTAAATGTACTGTAATTCTGTTTCCTCTTTGTGTTGTTATATTTCTAAATCTGATCGTATGAATTTGTTAATGTGTTTATATGTTGTAATTTTTAGTAAAGCACTTCAATGCTTTTGCACATAAATTTACAGTACTGATGTGTGATTGATTTGCTCATTCAGTAAAAAAAAAATACAGTATGTTGGCTTATTTGATTTACTCCGTGGGCATAAATGCTTTTGTGTAGCAGTGCGGTAGTGAAAGAAATCATTTTATACACTTGACAATAAAGCACAAATATTTGATGCAAGGAAAACTATTTCTTAGTCTCAGGCACAGTTTGCATTATATTCAGTGAGGTTTGTGCAGGAGAGCTTCCCAGTATAATATATTTTATGGCTTGGGGGTGTATGAAATGTAATGAGCAAAAAAAATTTTCTTGTTGCAATTCACTTTTACATTACATTCCCACATGTAATTAACACATACTCTGCCCCTGTCCCACAATCATCATCATAGCCTTTTTATGGTTAAAAGGGACCCATTCCAACCCAATAAGTAGTTTCTTTTCTTTGCCACAAGTAGATCTGTAAAATGTTTGCAAAATGTCCCTTTGGTATCAGAGAGCAAGTAAATATGCAGCCTAGCTTATACATGGCCACTGTGCAGCAAGACAGCGTTTACAGAGGAGTATAGAAAATTTTGCAAGAAAACTCAACTGTTTCATAATATGCATTATCAATCTCCCCCCTATTTATCAGGATTGTCTTTTCAAATCCATTTAAAGTTCATCTCTCTGGTAAAAATAAATATGTGCCCCTCCCCAATTGGAATATATATTTGATACAGAAATCTAAAATAATGTGTTTCTTCATGAAAATGTTTTTTTCCAGTTTACTAGCAGAGGTGATTTATGTTTGCAGAAGTGAAGGAACGTGTACAAATTAATAGTCTGAATGAGAAGTCAGTGAAATTAAAGTGGAAATACTGGGATTTCCCTGTTGCACCTAGTTCCACTGTCCGTTCCACCCGCTTTTCATGGAGCCTCTCTACATTTCTTGAACCTGAGTCTATTACCAAATTCAAATTTGAAGCGTCTTGGTCTTTATTACAGCAGCTGTCTTCTGACCTCTGAAGGGATTCTCTCTAAATTTATAATGAGATAGATTTCTGTGGATGCCTAAGGGATCTTAAGGTCATCATGACGCACTGAAAACCTCTCAGTGTTGTGAAGCAGTAGCAGCCAGATTTATTTAAATTAAATTTTCTACATAGGACCTATTGACTCCAAATCAAAATACTTCACTGACACTGTAGTCCAGGGGTATCAAACTCATTTTTTTTATGAGGGCCGGATCTGACACAAAT